ATGTCACATGATGGAAGGCACCATTGACCTTTTGGTTTGTTCCTCAACTAATAACTAATGCAAAGCATATAACTAATAAACAAACCAAAAAAGCTGACATTAATTGAATTATATACATATTTTCATTATTTATCAAAAGCCGTTAATGACTCCTTGCTTACATCATGTACAGATCTCACTACTCACATGTAAAATAATAGAAAAATAGTGATAAGAATTACTACAAATTTGATTTTCCATATGGGACAATATATATGTCCCATCTGTACAATCTCTTTAGATAGAGGCAGCATGAGAAATGGACTTATTGCATTGCTAGTTCTTTATGTATCATGTATCTGAAAGAAGAATCATACCTGGACCACAGGATGTAGTCTTCTGAGTTCCCTTTAAGAACTTCATGAATGGTACCTTGTACAGTTTCTGGCATGCACTCCATCACCATCTTCAGAAGCTTAGATATTTGAAAGTAACAGTCTTTCATGTAATAGCATAGTATCTTAGGAAAAATGATCTTGGTTTTATTCTGAACCTTTACATTAGCCTGAATAAACTCTTTCCTTGCAAGCTCCAATTCTTGCTGAATATGCTTGGCTGTGTAAACTCGCACCTGAAACCATTTCGTTTCGTAGCAGAATGTTAAGAACATTATCAAAATATCATTTGAGCATAAAGAAGTGCAGACATACAGGAGGATCGGAATACGATCCTTGGGACAATGCAAAATAAGCGAGTGGCTGTGGGTGATCAACAGCATATCGATGTTTCTGCTTCCTTTTCATGAACTTCAAAGTTGGACTTAGAAGCACTTCAAACCACTGCATATTCAATGTTGAAGAAATAATAATTTTAAAAGTTTCAGAACTGTTATTTCTGAACTACAATTGAAGGTTAACAATGGCGGACATACTGATGCTTTAAAATGGGGTTGACAACCAAGGATTGAACTTTGAATAACATAAGCATTTATTGAACGCCCGCCGATATTATACGCTGCCTGAATACAATTATGGTATTATAGCTAGGAAAGCTTATTCAAGAAATTAAGAGAATATTTTGTAAGTGGAAAGGATGACAATATTCTACCTTGAGAATTGATGATTTACTTTTCATGCGACCCTGATGCAGACCATAAGCCAAAAAAGCCTGTAAAAGTCACAAATTTCAGGTGATAAAATGTGCACCATAAAGTTTAAACATTATAGGATGAGAATTTTTTCATGATATATAACTCCATACATGCATAACTAAGGCATTATGAATATTTAGCCAGAAAGCAATCTGGTCTTCATATGCCATCTTTGTTGGGTCAATTGACTTGAGTTGCTTAATTAAGATTCTGCAGCAATGAGGAAACTTTGGTAAAAAGTAGAAAATTTTTTTATAAAGTTTGTCAAATTTAGATCATAATGAAAGGATAAAACGCTCAAAATCATTCGCCCTTGAAGCAAATGCATAATGTCATATGACAATGTAAGTTGGTTTTTAAGGGTTTCACATTGTTTAATCTAATAATATAGGAATGTAAACATTTGAGCAACATAGGGAAAAATCAATGTAGAAGTTTTAACATAAATAAACTAAATAGCAATAATGTTTTGAGGGAAAGATTACCTGAAAATGCTCAACATTTTGGAAGCATAACTAAATCGCTCACCATCAACACAAATCACTGAAATTTCGATCATATCACTGTATAATTCATCCTGAAATTTCTGCAGTCCCAAAATTGAGGGACTTACAATAGCTTCATGTTGGTATCTTGGACTCCAATTCCCACCAGAGCTTTGTTGAGAAATTGAGCTTGAAAAGGACAATGAAGGAGCATGCAAGGCCATTTTGTCTTTCTGGGGCTTTGGTATATTTGCAAGATTGCAGTAAATAGCAGCAATACATCTTAAAATGTCAACAGAAAGTTTAGAGGGAACTATAGAAGCAGGATCATGTTTCAACTGATCTGTATCACAGAGATGATCAGACCAAACCTCCACAATATCCTAGAAAATTTTGTCAAAAGCATGTGTAAATATGAAAGTTTAGGTGTAAGATATGT